GCAATCACACGTACAACCGAATGCAGCAGATGGATGGATGAATGCGCAGCAGGCAAGCGTACAACCGAATGCAGCAGATGGATTAACACCAGCACTCACACGTACAACCGAATGCAGCAGATGGATGGATGAATGCGCAGCAGGCAAGCGTACAACCGAATGCAGCAGATGGATGGATGAATGCGCAGCAGGCAAGCGTACAACCGAATGCAGCAGATGGATTAACACCAGCACTCACACGTACAACCGAATGCAGCAGATGGATTAACACGTACAGCCGAATGCAGCAGATGGATTAACACGTACAACCGAATGCAGCAGATGGATTAACACGAACAACCGAATGCAGAAAGATGGATTAACACGTACAAACGAATGCAGCAAGATGGATTAACACGTACAACCGAATGCAGCAGATGGATTAACACGTACAGCCGAATGCAGCAGATGGATTAACACGAACAACCGAATGCAGCAGATGGATTAACACGTACAGCCGAATGCAGCAGATGGATTAACACGTACAACCGAATGCAGCAGATGGATTAACAGGTACAACCGAATGCAGCTGATGGATTAACACGTACAACCGAATGCAGCAGATGGATTAACACGTACAACCGAATGCAGCAGATGGATAAACACGAACAACCGAATGCAGCAGATGGATTAACACGTACAGCCGAATGCAGCAGATGGATTCACACGAACAACCGAATGCAGCAGATGGATTAACAGGTACAGCCGAATGCAGCAGATGGATTAACAGGTACAACCGAATGCAGCAGATGGATTAACACGTACAGCCGAATGCAGCAGATGGATTAACAGGTACAACCGAATGCAGCAGATGGATTAACACGTACAACCGAATGCAGCAGATGGATTAACAGGTACAACCGAATGCAGCTGATGGATTAACACGTACAACCGAATGCAGCAGATGGATTAACACGAACGACCGAATGCAGCAGATGGATTAACACGAACAACCGAATGCAGCAGATGGATTAACAGGTACAGCCGAATGCAGCAGATGGATTAACAGGTACAACCGAATGCAGCAGATGGATTAACACGTACAGCCGAATGCAGCAGATGGATTAACAGGTACAACCGAATGCAGCAGATGGATTAACACGTACAACCGAATGCAGCAGATGGATTAACAGGTACAACCGAATGCAGCTGATGGATTAACACGTACAACCGAATGCAGCAGATGGATTAACACGAACGACCGAATGCAGCAGATGGATTAACAGGTACAACCGAATGCAGCAGATGGATGGATGAACGCGCAGCAGGCAAGCGTACAACCGAATGCAGCAGATGGATTAACACCAGCACTCACACGTACAACTGAATGCAGCAGATGGATGGATGAATGCGCAGCAGGCAAGCGTACAACCGAATGCAGCAGATGGATTAACACCAGCACTCACACGTGTAACTGAATGCAGCAGATGGATGGATGAATGCGCAGCAGGCAAGCGTACAACCGAATGCAGCAGATGGATTAACACCAGCACTCACACGTACAACTGAATGCAGCAGATGGATGGATGAATGCGCAGCAGGCAAGCGTACAACCGAATGCAGCAGATGGATTAACACCAGCACTCACACATACGAATGCGGCAGATGGATGGATGAACGCGCATAAGGCAAGCGTACAACCGAATGCAGCAGATAGATTAACACCAGCACTCACAGGTACAACCGAAGCAGATGGATGGATGAATGCGCAGCAGGCAAGCGTACAACCGAATGCGGCAGATGGATGGATGAACGCGCAGAAGGCAAGCGTACAACCGAATGCAGCAGATGGATTAACACCAGCACTCACACGTACAACCGAATGCAGCAGATGGAGGGATGAATGCGCAGCAGGCAAGCGTACAACCGAATGCAGCAGATGGATTAACACCAGCACTCACACGTATAACTGAATGCAGCAGACGGATGGATGAATGCGCAGCAGGCAAGCGTACAACCGAACGCCGCAGATGGATTAACACCAGCACTCACACGTACAACCGAACGCCGCAGATGGATGGATGAATGCGCAGCAGGCAAGCGTACAACCGAATGCGGCAGATGGATTAACACCAGCACTCACACGTACAACTGAATGCGGCAGATGGATGGATGAATGCGCAGCAGGCAAGCGTACAACCGAATGCAGCAGATGGATTAACACCAGCACTTGCACGTAAAACTGAATGCAGCAGATGGATGGATGAATGCGCGGCAGGCAAGCGTACAACCGAATGCAGCAGATGGATTAACACCAGCACTCACACGTACAACCGAATGCGGCAGATGGATGGATGAATGCGCAGCAGGCAAGCGTACAACCGAATGCAGCAAATGGATTAACACCAGCACTCACACGTACAACCGAATGCAGCAGACGGATGGATGAATGCGCAGCAGGCAAGCATACAACCGAATGCAGCAGATGGATTAACACCAGCACTCACACGTACAACTGAATGTAGCAGATGGATGGATGAATGCGCAGCAGGCAAGCGTACAACCGAATGCAGCAGATGGATGGATGAATGCGCAGCAGGCAAGCGTACAACCGAATGCAGCAGATAGATTAACACAAGCACTCATTCGTACAACCGAAAGACGTAGATGGATGGATGAACGCGCAGCAGACAAGCGTACAACCGAATGCAGCAGATGGATTAACACCAGCACTCACACGTACAACCGAAGCAGATGGATGGATGAATGCGCAGCAGGCAAGCGTACAACCGAATGCAGCAGATGGATAAACACCAGCACTCACACGTACAACCGAATGCAGCAGTTGGATGGATGAATGCGCAGCAGGCAAGCGTACAACCGAATGCAGCAGTTGGATGGATGAATGCGCAGCAGGCAAGCGTACAACCGAATGCAGCAGATGGATTAACACCAGCACTCACACGTACAACCGAATGCAGCAGATGGATGGATGAATGCGCAGCAGGCAAGCGTACAACCGAATGCAGCAGATGGATGGATGAATGCGCAGCAGGCAAGCGTACAACCGAATGCAGCAGATGGATTAACACCAGCACTCACACGTACAACTGAATGCGGCAGATGGATGGATGAATGCGCAGCAGGCAAGTGTACAACCGAATGCAGCAGATGGATGGATGAGTGCGCAGCAGGCAAGCGTACAACCGAATGCAGCAGATAGATTAACACAAGCACTCATTCGTACAACCGAAAGACGTAGATGGATGGATGAATGCGCAGCAGGCAAGCGTACAACCGAATGCAGCAGATGGATTAACACCAGCACTTGCACGTACAACCGAATGCAGCAGATGGATGGATGAATGCGCAGCATGCAAGCGTACAACCGAATGCAGCAAATGGATTAACACCAGCACTCAAACGTACAACCGAATGCGGCAGATGGATGGATGAATGCGCAGCAGGCAAGCGTACAACCGAATGCAGCAGATGGATTAACACCAGCACTCACACGTACAACCGAATGCAGCAGATGGATGGATGAATGCGCAGCAGGCAAGCGTACAACCGAATGCAGCAAATGGATTAACACCAGCACTCACACGTACAACCGAATGCAGCAGATGGATGGATGAATGCGCAGCAGGCAAGCGTACAACCGAATGCAGCAGATGGATTAACACCAGCACTTGCACGTACAACCGAATGCAGCAGATGGATGGATGAATGCGCAGCAGGCAAGCGTACAACCGAATGCAGCAAATGGATCAACACCAGCACTCAAACGTACAACCGAATGCGGCAGATGGATGGATGAATGCGCAGTAGGCAAGCGTACAACCGAATGCAGCAAATGGATTAACACCAGCACTCACACGTACAATCGAATGCAGCAGATGGATGGATGAATGCGCAGCAGGCAAGCGTACAACCGAATGCAGCAGATGGATTAACACCAGCACTCACACGTACAACTGAATGCGGCAGATGGATGGATGAATGCGCAGCAGGCAAGCGTACAACCGAATGCAGCAAATGGATTAACACCAGCACTCAAACGTACAACCGAATGCGGCAGATGGATGGATGAACGCGCAGCAGGCAAGCGTACAACCGAATGCAGCAGATGGATGGATGAATGCGCAGCAGGCAAGCGTACAACCGAATGCAGCAGATGGATTAACACAAGCACTCACACGTACAACCGAATGCAGCAGATGGATTAACACCAGCACTCACACGTACAACTGAATGCGACAGATGGATGGATGAATGCGCAGCAGGCAAGCGTACAACCGAATGCATCAGACGGATGGATGAATGCGCAGCAGGCAAGCGTACAACCGAATGCAGCAGATGGATGGATGAATGCGCAGCAGGCAAGCGTACAACCGAATGCAGCAGATGGATTAACACAAGCACTCACACGTACAACCGAATGCAGCAGATGGATGGATGAATGCGCAGCAGGCAAGCGTACAACCGAATGCGGCAGATGGATGGATGAATGCGCAGCAGGCAAGAGTACAACCGAATGCAGCAGATGGATGGATGAATGCGCAGCAGGCAAGAGTACAACCGAATGCAGCAGATGGATGGATGAATGCGCAGCAGGCAAGCGTACAACCGAATGCGGCAGATGGATGGATGAATGCGCAGCAGGCAAGAGTACAACCAAATTCAGCAGATGGATGGATGAATGCGCAGCAGGCAAGCGTACAACCGAATGCAGCAGATGGATGGATGAATGCGCAGCAGGCAAGCGTACAACCGAATGCAGCAGATGGATTAACACAAGCACTCACACGTACAACCGAATGCAGCAGATGGATGGATGAATGCGCAGCAGGCAAGCGTACAACCGAATGCAGCAGATGGATTAACACAAGCACTCACACGTACAACCGAATGCAGCAGATGGATGGATGAATGCGCAGCAGGCGAGCGTACAACCGAATGCGGCAGATGGATGGATGAATGCGCAGCAGGCAAGCGTACAACCGAATGCAGCAGATGGATTAACACCAGATGGATGCACTTGCACGTAAAACTGAATGCAGCAGATGGATTAACACCAGATGGATGCACTTGCACGTAAAACTGAATGCAGCCTTGCATGATCCATGAATAAACGCTCCAGAGCACACCTCAGTAGAGGGAGGCTCTGGCCCATCGGCATCCACACAGGCAGCAGCGGAGGGAGTGGCCTTCCTGTTCCCCTTATCCTTATTCTCCTCCTTCGCCCCCTTGCTCGACTCCTCCCCTGCCGCTGCTGTGTCTGTCGTTGGGGACTTGGCAGTCAAGAGAGCATCAGATGCGGGTTGTAGGCCTGCAGGGGGAGAGAAGGGGGGAGGCAAAGGGAGGTAGGGGATGGTGGCGGGCCTCGCTGTGACGTGCGTGATGCCCGAAAGGAAAACACAACCTTTTTGAATTGACTCACAAGTCACCGCATCAGCTGCTGCATGCCGCCATGCCCGTAAAAAGCGCCTCTAAACGCCTCAACTCTGCTGCCGAACCCATGAACGCTTCAGTCTCGCGAGGCAGGAGTTACCTTGGCAGGAGTGATCCAGCCGCCAGCGCCCTCCTTCCTATCCTTGTCATAAAGCCGCAGCTTCGCCTTGCCCTTGCTCGCTGCACTCGCACTGCCCAGCACCCGCCCCTCCAGCTGCCTCAGCCGCTGCTCAATCTGTTTCTCGATCACACACGAAAGGAAGGGGAGAAAGAGACAGAGGAGAGTCAGTACAATGCACAGACAGGAGCAGATGGCAGCACCAGAAGCGGGCGAACGGTGGGGGCAGAGGAGGGATGACGGGCGAATGGAAGTTGAGCCCAAGGATAAGGATGGCAGCACCAGAAGCACCAGGAGCAGATGGCAGCGCCAGAAGCAGTTGCACTGGAAGAGTGCATGCCATCAATTCCACTAGGTTCCTTCTCCTCCCCTTCCACCCACCTTAGCGCGCCCCTGAGTCTCCACGGTAGGTTCGGTGGCATCACCCCGGGCGTCCAGCGAGTAGCGAGGGAGCTCTTGGGCGCGAGCACGCGGGAGATCCTGCCCTTGGGTGAGCGTGGGGGGCGCGTGGCCGATGAGCTGAGCGCGGCGTGGAAGACCAGACCGTTCTTGGGCGTGTCGTGCTTTGCCTTGAGGGCCTGGGGGGTGAAGTGGGCATGGAAGGTGAAGTGGAAGAGTGGGGAAGAAGAGAGCGGACAGGGGAGGAGAGGGAAGGAAGGGGAGTTTACAGAGGTGAAAGGTGGGGGCAAAGGAGGGATGACGGGCGAATGGTAGTTGAGCCCAAGTACCAGTCCATGAGCACGAGGTGGAAGGCGCCACCTCCATTCCATCCTCCTGCCCACGTGGATGACCACCATTCGCTACAGTGAATGAATGCAATGGAAGGCGGCGTACCTTCTCAGCGCCCAGGATCCGGGGGAGGCGGTGGAAGCGGGGCGCCCAGGATGTGCCCGGGGGGGGCGGGGTGCGTGGCGAGGCTCACGAGTACCGTCAGGTTGGGCACAATGGCCAGCATGCGCGATCGCAGGTAGTCCAAGAGCTGAAGGACGGTGACGGATGGTGGAGGGATGGGGCGGTTCAGTCGGTCAGACGAGGACGGGTGAGAAAGAAGCCACGTATACAGTTGCACTGACGCCGCACTGTGAGTGTGGCAGCACTGTGAGTGTGGCAGCACTGTGAGTGTGGCAGCACTGTGAGTGTGGCAGCACTGTGAGTGTACGTAACCAGCATGGCAGACATTTCAATGCAATGTCATGCTCGCTGACCTCCGTCCCCATGGAGCTTAGACGCCACCCAAACAATCATTGACCTGCATTGACCTCGCGTTGACCTGCGTTGACCAGAGCCTCTCTGACCACTGACCTGGTCACGGAGCGCAAAGGTGTTGGTCGGACTCAGGCCATGCGCGCTGACCTCCGTCCCCATGTCTTGTCATGCGCGCTGACCTCCGTCCCCATGCCTTGCCATGCGCGCTGACCTCCGTCCCCATGTCTTGCCATGCGCGCTGACCTCCGTCCCCATGTCTTGTCATGCGCGCTGACCTCCGTCCCCATGTCTTGCCATGCGCGCTGACCTCCGTCCCCATGTCTTGCCATGCGCGCTGACCTCCGTCCCCATGTCTTGCCATGCGCGCTGACCTCCGTCCCCATGTCTTGCCATGCGCGCTGACCTCCGTCCCCATGTCTTGCCATGCGCGCTGACCTCCGTCCCCATGTCTTGTCATGCGCGCTGACCTCCGTCCCCATGTCTTGCCATGCGCGCTGACCTCCGCCCCCATGCACCTCCATCCCTGATCGCTGACTCCACATCCTCCTCCATCATCTGGGGGGGTGCATGGGTAGAGAGGACGCTTGAGATTGAACAGAAACACACGCATCAACACGGGGAGCAGAGGAGGGCGGGAGTGGAGTGGGCAAGGGAGGGGAGCAAGGATGGGGACCACGCTCACCCCAGAGGATGGCGTTGACGCGGTGAGCCATGAGCTTCACGGCTCTGCAGCTTGTCCGTCACAATCTTGGCGGGCTCGGGGAAATGGCACCCGCACCACTCGCCTTGAGACCCAAGGGCCACCCGTACCGCTCGCCACCCGCACCACTCGCCATCCGTACCGCTCGCCATCCGTACCACTCGCCATCCGTACCGCTCGCCACCCGTACCGCTCGCGCACGCGCATGGCGTACGTCATCCCTCGTTCGTCATCTCATTCGTTGCGCCACACACGTGTTTAAACCCGTTATTGACCTCGCCCCCCGTCGCTACTCCTCCCCCGTCGCTACTCCTCACCCGTCGCTGCGCCTCCCCCGTCGCTGCGCCCCCCCGTCGCTGCGCCTCCCCCGTCGCTGCGCCTCCTCCATTATCTGGGGGGATGCATGGGTAGGGAGGATGAGAGAGGGAGGTTGGGAAGCAATTGTCAGTGGCCATCTCACAACCGAGGAAGCAGCTCCTCTCACAACCGAGGAAGCAGCTCCTCTCACAACCGAGGAAGCAGCTCCTCTCACAACCGAGGAAGCAGCTCCTCTCACAACCGAGGAAGCAGCTCCTCTCACAACCGAGGAAGCACCTCCTCTCACAACCGAGGAAGCAGCTCCTCTCACAACCGAGGAAGCACCTCCTCTCACAACCGAGGAAGCAGCTCCTCTCACAACCGAGGAAGCAGCTCCTCTCACAACCGAGGAAGCAGCTCCTCTCACAACCGAGGAAGCAGCTCCTCTCACAACCGAGGAAGCAGCTCCTCTCACAACCGAGGAAGCAGCTCCTCTCACAACCGAGGAAGCAGCTCCTCTCACAACCGAGGAAGCAGCTCCTCTCACAACCGAGGAAGCAGCTCCTCTCACAACCGAGGAAGCAGCTCCTCTCACAACCGAGGAAGCAGCTCCTCTCACAACCGAGGAAGCAGCTCCTCTCACAACCGCGTCACGCGGTTTTCAGAGGTGAAAGGGAAGGCGCCACCTCCATGCCATCTTCATGCCCACGTGGATGACCACCATTCGCTACAGCGAATGCAATGCAATGGAAGGCGGCGTACCTTCTCAGCGCCCAGGATCTTCCCGGGGGGGGCGGGGTGCGTGGCGAGGCTCATGAGGGAAGGCAACCGGCGCGGGGAAGGATGGGGACCACACTCACCCCGGACAAGTCAAGGTCAGCGCGTGGGGAAGGGAGGGGCCTCCCCCGTTGCTGCGCCTCCAACTCGCCGCGCGTCCCCCGTCCCCGCGCCTTCCCCCTGATCGCGTCTCCCCGTCGTCGCGCGTCCAACTCCCTGATCCACGATTTCGTTCATTCATCGAGATCTACGAACATTGCCTCCTTCAGTCGCAGGCGTTGTCCTAGTCGCTGCCTCCCTTTGCCTCCTTGCTCCTCGCCCTTCGCTCCTCCCTTCGCCCTTACGCCAGTCGCTTACGTCACCGTACGCTCGCTCCGTGATGTCTCGCCCGTTGCTTCGAATCGCCCGTCGCGTCGCGTCTCGCCCGTCGCTTGGCGTCTCGCCCGTCGCTTGGCGTCTCGCCCGTCGCGTCGCGTCTCGCCCGTCGCTTCGCGTCTCGCCCGTCTTGCTACCGCTGCCGCGGATGATCACCGTGGGAGGAGCCTGGTTGTTGCTGGAAGCAGCGCCACCGTCGCGTCTCCCGTCCCGCGCGTCCCGCTGCCGTCGCGCGCGTAGCATCGTCGCGCGTCCCCGTTCAGCTCCCCGTTTAAGCGACGCAAGACGCTTCCTTTCCTTAATCGAGCATTGCTGAGCCGTTCCCCTCCGCAGCCGTTGCATCGTCACTGCCTCCCGTCGTCGCGTGTCGCACTGTCGTCGCGCGTCGCACTGTCGTCGCGCGTCGCACTGCCGTCGCACGTCCCACTGTCGTCGTGCGTCCCTCCCGTCGTGCGAGGGATGAGTCAGATTCTTGCTGGAAAGGTGACAAAGCTGGTCTCACTCGTCGTCTTGGCGTCTCGCCCGTCGCTTGGCGTGTCGCCCGTCTCGCTGGCGCTGCAGTGCGATGATCGCCGTGGGAGGAGCCTGGTTCTCGCTGGAAGCAGCGGCACGGTCGAGCACCGTCGCCGTGACGACGTGGAATCATCCTCACTCTCGCTGCTGGCTCTCCGTGCTCGGACGCAGATTTCGCCGAGACGACAAGAATCGTCGCCGTCGCCGGCCGACTTTGCCTGCGACCGTCGGGAAACCATTGACCGACGAGACTCCACGCGATCGACAAGTAGGTATTCTCTGTACACGGGCCTGCAGTGCTCGCTTCTGCATCCTCTGCTGCATCCGCTGCTCCGACACCCTATGCGTTACCGTTAACGTCAAACGTGTTAGCGCTCAGCGATTCGCTGCTTCCACCGCGACTACATACGATGGCTACCGGCGCAACTTTCTGATGAACGTACGAATAGCCCGTTCTAGTAATGATCTGCTCGCCTGAGAGCTACTCAACATATTCACGAGCCGTACAGCACCGGTAGCCGTCGCCAGTTGATGGATGGTCGCAACTTCCTACAGCTACTGAAGTTTAGCAGGATACAGGAGCTGTCTGATGAGTACTGGAGATTTCGTGAAAGGTTACTAAACTGCAGCCGTTTCAAGACTCATGATTTTACCAGCTAATCCGAGCGACATGGAACAGAGAATAATAACGGGGTCATTCTGGCACCATCGCTCTGTGTTTTATCAAGGATTGCTAACACTGACAGCACAAAGTGCTGCACTCGCTAGGGTTCGCGGAAGCCATGGCTGCGGGGGAAGTGAGCTAACAGGCAGGAAGGAATGCAAATGAGCAGGGAAGGGAGAGGTGCGGCGGAGGTAGAGTCGGAAATCACTCTCACCACACGGCCTCCGCCACTCCTCACCGCTGGGTGGAGTTCGCCGCTGGGCTTGGTCAGAAAATGCGCTTCGTTGCTCATTGGCGAAAACCGAGCCATTCGCCACGTCGGGGAAAGTGCGCGGGCTGGCCGTCCGAAACATTTTGCGAGTGTTACTGGATGGCTTTGACTCTGCCACAGCACAAACGCACTAGGGTTTCTACTTGTGCAGATTGCGGAACCCAACTGAAGCTCGTCCCAACGAAGCCAAGCGCTGAACAGGTTCGGAATCACAACCAGAAAACGGCGGGTAAACAGGCTCGACAGTTTGAAATTGCCTGGCGGCAACAGCTCGGGGAACCGCCTGACACAAAACCAAGGCAAGGTTCATGGATATGTGCGACAGGCGGCTGGGGGAGGTTTTGAGCTCCGCAACTCGGCTGAATTCTCACAAATATTGTGTGATGTCAAACGAATCTCCGTGCGGATACTGAGGAATTATGTAATGCACAAATATAGCTGAATCTGATTGAAACGCGTTCCAGCCAACTAAATCAAAAGGTTCGAGATCAAATAGCAGGAAGTGCTCAAAATCGGCGGGAAACGAGGTTCTGCCAGGAGGCAAACCTATTGGAAGGACCCACCTGACACAAACCCGAAGCAAGGGTTGGTGGTTCGTTTTGTGGCAGTTGATGCTTGGGAAACAGGTTTGCCCTCCTGTGGGCAAAAGTCTCGCTATTGCTACAAGTAAAATATGGCCTAAGGAAGTTTGGCATGAATAAGAGTGTTTTGGCTGCAGTTCTCGATTAATTTAGACCTTACGTCATCCCAAGAATTTAGCATGTATACAGGCTATTTTTTCCGTTTAATAAAAAAAAATTCACAACAGGTGAAAAATCTCAGCTTACTATACATATTTACAATATAGTCATATAAAATGTACCATTTGCTACTAAGTTTCACACATATACTTTTGCGGACAGTATCTTTCCTTTAAAATATTTGGATAGCTCATTCATTTTGTAACTACGATTTCTCTATGCAAACTCATTCTCTCAGCTGATATCCGTTTTATCTGCCATCCCGACGGGGTTGTACTGTAAAGAAGCTGGATAAAACGGGTTACATAGCACTTGGGGTTTCAGATGTTGAGGTCGAGCCTTGCGACGTTCGCAATCCTGTCCACCTCAAAGATTTCTCGACCGGTTCACCCTCGCTATCGAACAGGGCCTTCGTGACGTGACGCTACCATGCAGCTCGGCATCATTGCTGTCCAGCTGGGGTTTGGATTGTCAAGCTAGCAGTCACAACAGAGAAGAGAGTCCACATACCCACCCGTACACATCACCATCCGATCTGCTACCATCACGTGCCCCACATGCTCGCCTCGCCACGCTTCCCTTTCCATAGCAAAAAAAATCTAGGAATGCGAATGCGCGAGTTCCTACGGGCCCTGGTGGGCGCAAACCCACCAGGTCCCTCTCCTGGTGGAAGTCGTTTCCACCAGGACGCGGAGCCGGCGGAAGCTGTCTGCCCGGGGGCAAAAAAACTATTCCTCATCGCGTTCCCCTTTTGCACGAAAGATGACATTGACCCATCAGAGAAGCTGAGAGGCAACCCTGTCTTTGACAGATCAGTCAGTGGGAGCTAGTTCGCAACTCGTAATCCGTGACTCATTCTCATTCCGTGACTCCGCTGCCCTTCGTCCGTCACTCCAAGGTTCGTAATTTGTGTACCCGCGGCTCTTTTTACGTGACACGTGAATCCACGGATCTAAGACTCCACACATCGACTTGACTTGTTTCACTGATAAGAACATCTCGCACTGTCAGAGAAGCGACACGTGACGGCAGCGAGTGACGCGCATCCGGCTGGTAACTTTTCATCAACCTCATGATTACTCACGAACACGTTATCAGTCCGGCTCCCTAGTGTGGTTTAGAATTGTTCTCTTCCTTCTGATTTCGCTCCCCTCCCCTTCCCATCCGCCCTCCCTCCGCTCCCCTCGCCCTCTGTGTGATGCCGTTCATCTGTGCTCCTGCAGCCATCTCCGCATCACTCGTGGTTTCCGTCAATCGATTCATGGATCGTCAAGGCGAAAAGAGGAGGCGTTCCTCCGACGAGTCGCCAGGCGAAACCCTTCGCGAGACAGAGATTCGGCGGATGTTAGAGGGCATGCCGAAGGAGTATCTCGTCTCTCTGCAGCTTGATGCGTGAGTTCCGTGTGTTTTTTTCTTCTTCTTCTTGTTTGCTTGTGTTTTCAAATTACAGCATCTTTCTAGTTGGTTTCTAGATGTAGAGCGCGTGAAGCAGCCAAGAGCTCGGGAGACTTAGTGAGAATAACCGCGTAAAGGTGTGACTTGAATGGATCACCCAACTTACAAACTGCAGTGAAGGGTTTGACAATGACCTGGTAGCAGTGAGGGTTTGAAGGGGGGAGGAGAGGTGTGGGGAGGGTCGAGTGGTTTGAGGTTTGGTGTGCTGATGTGTGGATAATGGAGGGCTTTGGTTGTTGATTCTGTTTTTGTGCGCTGCAACAATTGGTTGGGACGATTCGCTAGGCTCGGCTAAGTCGGTTCCCAAATATGGGTGGTTACCACAGGTGTGATGTGGCAAAGTCTGATTTTAGGTTGGGGTGATTGGCCTAGGCATAGCTGTGAGTGTGATTGGTTTGCTTTCGTCACTTACCAAGCTTACGTGTACATTTGACGCTGTAGTTGAACGGGAATTTTCGTTCTTGGTTTGGTGAACGCGGTCAGTAACACAGTGATGAATCGCATACAAGCGCTCTGAACCACTCTTAATTTCTGGTCCAACCAGCCCACCCGAACGTGTTTGCGGCTAACACCCTCGCGTCTCTTGGATGTAACTGTCACGCGACTTTTCTATTACAGATTTGTCCAGCGAAAATGTGACATTTCCGTCACATTTCCGCTGGGATGTTTTGTACGAGTTCGGGGACTTTTTGTGAGCTTTTTCGTAGAAAAGCCTACGGGAGCCAAATTTTGCGTTGGTTTCTATTCTCTTTGCACCTACGCATGTCTCACTGGTATGTCACGGTCATGTTCTTTTGCATACGTGCGTGGATGTGCCACAGGGCTTTGAAACACTGGGACGTAGCTGAGCGTGTGCTGATCGTTGCGAACACGGACATATCCTATCGCAAGATTTTTGTGTCAGGATTGGGGTCCGAGACTTAGAGGGCGACATTGCTTTCAGTAAGTGTGCCTCCACCAGGTCGGCATAGCGTTGCCCCTTGGACGTTGATTGCGAGATTGTGCTGCTTATCCTTTGTCAGTGCACTTCGGTCGGCCTGCAGTAGGTCCTTGTCATACTGGGGCAATGAGCCCTCACGTGTTCAGGAGTCCTCACAAGGGCAGCGTCGGTATGCAGCATGCTTTGCATGCTGTGGGCGGGCCGCACGATTATAGCCGCTCCCTTTCTTGTGTAGACGCATTGTCTGTCCTCTTTTTTTTTTATGGCTGTTGTTTATTGTAATATGTTGTCCAATGTCTTGCCTTCTTTAACGTGCGGCCAAAGATCGTGCCTGGCGAGGCGTCAAATATCTTATGCACCCATGTGTGTCATTCGCAGCGATTCTCCGAGTATGGAGACGTGGAAGACGCCGTGGTGATCGTGGACCAGGCTGGTCACTCCACGGGATCTGGAGAGATTATCTTCAAGTCAACGCGTTCCGCCTTTAGGGCGCTCCGCGATTCGAACAAGACCATTGGTGTAAGTTTATTGATGCAATTAGTGATTTCGATAATAGTATTGTAGCATTGTTTCGCTGTCTTTGTTGGGAGGATGCTGATGTGCAGAAACATCTGCAGGCCTGCCAGTCAACCCTACCTCTTGTGTTTCAAGTCGATGATTAAAGTACCTTTGGAATTTTTTGTATTGTGCCCTCTGCTTCGAATCAGGGTCGTTCGACTCTCTGGTTTCTCGAAGCATGGAGCTTCTCTAGTTCGAGCAGCGAAAGTGCTTTGCGTAGCATTTACGTCAAGAGCCTGCCATACGGTTGGAATAAGGAGCAGCTCGGGAGTATTTTTTCGATGTATGGGGAGATAGATGACTGTACGATCATCTTAGAACCATCGACGGGAAAATCAAGGTATAGTGGATAGGTCATTTGGCGTTGGCAATTGTTGCTTTCAGCTTCTCCTTTTACCTCATGCATTCTATTCCCACCCTTCAATTTAATTGACTGCCGTGCTTCTGTGTCAAATGTCAATCTCTATGGTTTTTTCTGTTTCCCTTCCGTCCGGTTTCAGAGGGTTCGGATTCGTCACGTATCGAACACTAGATGCGGCATTGAGAGCCGTTTCTGAGCCAAGCAAGCTGATCGGAGTACGTATGATTCTCTGCATTCTTTTTAATCATCGTGCAATACCTTTTCCTGAAATTTTGATATAATAATTTTCTATGTCTTTGTGGGCTCTTTCCTGTACCACAGGGCCGTAAGGTGGACGTGATATTTGCTAATGAGAGGGTTGTTTCTGCCTCGGGCCAGCCACAGGCACCTCATCAACAGCTGCGACAGCCACAGACCCAGCCACAGGGACAGCTGCAGCCACAGGGACAGCTGCAGCCACAGGGACAGCTGCAGCCACAGGGACAGCTGCAGCCACAGGGACAGCTGCAGCCACAGGGACAGCTGCAGCCACAGGGACAGCTGCAGCCACAGGGACAGCTGCAGCCACAGGGACAGCTGCAGCCACAGGGACAGCTGCAGCCACAGGGACAGCTGCAGCCACAGGGACAGCTGCAGCCACAGGGACAGCTGCAGCCACAGGGACAGCTGCAGCCACAGGGACAGCTGCAGCCACAGGGACAGCTGCAGCCACAGGGACAGCTGCAGCCACAGGGACAGCTCCAGCCACAGGGACAGCTGCAGCCACAGGGACAGCTGCAGCCACAGGGACAGCTGCAGCCAAAGGGACAGCTGCAGCCACAGGGACAGCTGCAGCCACAGGGACAGCTGCAGCCACAGGGACAGCTGCAGCCACAGGGACAGCTGCAGCCACAGGGACAGCTGCAGCCACAGGGACAGCTGCAGCCACAGGGACAGCTGCAGCCACAGGGACAGCTGCAGCCAAAGGCACAGGTCCAGCCACAGGGACAGCTTCAGCCGCTGGTGCAGCCACAGGCACAGGTGCCGCCACACGCACAGGTGCCGCCACACGCACAGGTGCCGCCACACGCACAGGTGCCGCCACACGCACAGGTGCCGCCACACGCACAGGTGCCGCCACACGCACAGGTGCCGCCACACGCACAGGTGCCGCCGCAGGCACAGGCACAGCTGCAGGCGCAGGCACAGCTGCAGGCGCAGCTACTATCACAGGCGCAGCCACAGGTAGCAGCAGTTCGCACCAGTGCAGCAGAAAGTTCCGTTTCTCCCTCAGGAGCAGCCGCCACTGCGGCAGGTTCTTCTGGGGGAACTGGAGGCGGTGCACAAGTGGAGTCTCCTGGCGCTCGAAAGAAACATGTTGCTTTTATCACTGGCCTCATATGATTGTCGCTGCTGCAGCTTCGGCAGAAACTCTGTTGTACATACTCCGAATCTGTGGCTAAGGATGTGGGTTGGGCAGGCTGGAATCCAGCAGTGACAAATACGGTACTTTCTGTTGAGCATGGATGTGCAGGTTTGTAGTCTTCAAGTCCCACTGGCACTGCTCTTGCGTTGCTTCATTTCTGGCCACGTTGGCTTGGCCAGCATCCCCTGTATGACTACCATTAGAGTTTCCTGTAGTGTTTGGAAGGATTTGTTTCTTGAAAGAACATAGCAATGGCATGTATTCTTGCTGGAAGCACCGGCGAGTGAGGCAGCATTCATACAAGAGGCGCAGCAAACGTTTGGTTTGGAAGAGGAATGTATTACATCTCATCTCAGGCAGAATAACAGCACAATAGCGTGTCTAGACTAGACTCTTGATTGATTCAAGCAAATGACTGCTTTATGGTACTGCATAAAAGTTTGCATATGAAGTTGCGATTGGTGAATGAGCTGAGACGTAGTGGCCAGGTTCCAATATGTGTTGCTGAGAGAACAGCAAAATGCCAAAATGTCTATCACAATCTGAAGTATTTTGACATGGTCAAAATGTCAATCTAAAGTATTATATGAACAGCAGTCTTGCAGCCGCACATTCATGCACACACACAAAACACAAGGGACATGAATAACACATCACACATGGTGCATGAACCAACCAGTCAGACGCACGCACGTGCAAGTACCAGGCAAGAACACTTGGGTAGGTAACAATAGTATGAATTAAATCGGTAGATCAGAAACGGTTCAGAGCCGTACGCACGCATTTCGGCTGTTTAGGCCTGTTTAGGCCTCTCCTTCCCCAAATCACTCTCTCTGCTCCCCTTCCTCCCTCCCCATTCACTTAGCAGCAACGGTCTCCCATTCACTTAGACCATACAATACCATACCATACCGTACCGTACCGTACCGTACAGTACCGTACCGTACCGTACAGTACCGTACCGTACCGTACCATCCCATACCATACCATGCCATACCGCATTGAGCAATTTGAGACACCTGAAAAGACCAACCCCAAACCATACCGTACCGCATTGAACAGCTTTGAGGCACCTGAAAAGACCTTCCCCACACACCGAACTCCATTAAACAGCTTTGAGGCACCTGAAATGACCTACCCCACACCACACCACACTGAGCACTCACTTGATCTCATCAAACCCTTTTGACTGCATCTGCCCCATAGCATCTGCCCCATAGCATCTGCCCCATAGCATCTGCCCCATAGCATCTGCCCCATAGCATCTGCCCCATAGCATCTACCCCATAGCATCTGCCCCATAGCATCTGCCCCATAGCATCTGCCCCATAGCATCTGCCCCATAGCATCTGCCCCATAGCATCTGCCCCATACCGCACAAAGCACTCACTTGCTCACTTCCTCTCTCACTCCAACCATCTACGCCTTGCCCAATCGCTCCTCCTAATCTTCCTTCCTCGCTGCAATGAGCCAGCTCGTCTAGAGCTGCTATGCGCCCTGACTGCTCACACGTTTGGTGATGGGGGGAAGGAGTGGCAGCGGGACGAGTGCACATGCCCAAAGCCCGCTAACGTGTCCATACCATGTCCAGTGGAACTAGTGCTTCAGGACACGAGCAAGTACCATAGAACAACCATTTTTCAATGAAACCTCTCTTGGCCATCAAGACTGCTGCCTTGATGTTCACCCAAACACCACGGTGAGGTGGAGGTTCGTCGTTCGGGAAAAAATGTGTAATGATTAACACTCAATGTCCACCCCATAACTGGACCACAGCAATGGCCATTGTCACCAACAGCCATGAGGGTCCCACCTTGCCAGCACAAGGAGGAGCATCCAGAACACTCCCTTTCGGAAACAACACGTCTCGAGTGGATGTATTTTGAGGTGCAAAGAGCGGAAGCGGAAAAGCGCGAACTGGCACAAGACTCAAATCCACCCCCTGGCGTAGCATGAGCTTGCCTAAACCAGAGCCGGCCGGCTCGGCTCCAGCAGGGCCTATTGTGCCTTCACGCCAGGTTCGTTACTTGAGCACCGAGGGCCGTCGTCGCGCTAGTTCCCCAACCAGACCCGCACAACAAGCCACAAACCACCCAAGGGCGCTGCCCCTAAGGAAGTGAGCTGCACACTACCTCCCATGCTTTACCTGTTACCCACACACACACATACCAACCCATAACACCTTCATAGCAAAAGGAGAAACACACAAACACCCCCTTTCGGAAACAACACGTCTCGAGTGGATGTATTTTGAGGTGCAAAGAGAGGAAGTGGAAAAGCGCGAACTGGCACAAGACTCAAATCCACCCCCTGGCGTAGCATGAGCTTGCCAAAACCAGAGCCGGCCGGCTCGGCTCCAGCAGGGCCTATTGTGCTTTAACGCCAGGTTCGTTACTTGAGCACCGAGGGCCGTCGCCGCGCTAGTTCCCCAACCAGACCCGCACAACAAGCCACAAACCACCCAAGGGCGCTGCCCTTAGGAAAGTGCACTGTATGATTGCACCCATGCTTTACCTTTACCTTCCCCAAGGCAGTCATAGCACACTTACAACCAGGGCAGCAAGATGGATTAACACGTACAACCGAAAGCAGCAGATGGATTAACACATACAACCCAATGCAGCAGATGGATTAACAGGTACAACAGAATGCAAGAGTTG